GGACATGAGTCTGAGATCTCTACGTCAAGCACCATTTATGCTATCTACTTGAATCCCACTGTACTGTCAAGAGGACATCCTGGGCTTTCTAGTGAGGCCCCACTTGTGAGGGTGTGGCTAAAAGAGTACATGGACTTTCTTTCCAAAATGGCAGGCATCGCAGCGTCCTCATTTTATGGCATCAAGGGGGGTAAGTAATCTTTTTTTTCTTTGCAGATATTATGTTTCTGTTGTTAATAATCAAATTGTTCCTTCAATATGAGACTCTTAACTTCAATTTGGTAAGGTTTTTAGAAATGTACAGTAATTGTAACCCCTTCAAAACACAACTTTTATTCAGTGACCTTTGTAGTGGACAGCAGGACTTACAACACCCTGTTTTTAACCATTTTCCATACTCCAGGAAGCAGAGGGCTGAGTGAGGAAAGGATTTTGCTAAGAATTGTGGAAGGAGATTCAGACTTAGAGCTTTCAGGAGATGATGTGGAGGAGGGCCAAGTGCTCATCACTAGAGGCAGCCTGAAAACCACTCCAGAGAAGCTAAAACCTTCTTTGGCATATCTATGTACATGGCATGTCTTGGATGCCCAAGGATCCAGATGTACTGGGCAGCAAAAACGAGGGTCCCAGTTATGTGTGATGTAATCTACAATCCAGCTTCAGGCTTATCAAGTACACAGAATGCAGTTTAATCAAAAAGCTCTGTTGTGAGATATTGCTTCTTAAAATGTTTTAGTGTTTTGATGTGTTTCCTTCATCTAACTGTTGAAATGTTTATGAAATGAAAAGAAATTTAGATAAAAATTCACAAAAAATGAATGCATTATTATTACATTTTAACGTTACATTTTGTGATCAAACAAGACCCGATATCCACTACAAAGGACAGATGATTTAAAAAAACAACAACTTTTTTGCTGTAAAATGTTTCCTTTAATCGAAAGTCTTAAAATTTCTAAAAAAAATATATGAATAACATCAGTATTTGAGCTGGGGTTGAATAAGTATTCAGATCCTTTGTAAAAGTACTAATACCACACTGTAAGACTACTCCACTATAAGTTAAAGTTTTTCATTCAAAACTTTACTTCTGTTTTTCAATTAATTAATTAATTTATTTATTAATTTATTTTCATGTTTCTACAGTTGCCACGCGTTAGGATAGATCTGCTGAAATAAAATTTTTGTGACAGGCCTTTTTATCATACGGTGTGTAATACTCATTTTTGACACTTAACTTTTCAAAGCCACTATGCAATTCAACACAAATCTTCCTTGACTTTTTATAAATGTACACCAAATCTACACGTTGGTGTTCATCGAAACTTCTTAATTCAAAGCTGGTATTCAAATTATGACTAAGTCTCACATAAAGGTCCGATGGCAAGCACTGGGGGGTTGGAGTTACCTGTACTTGAACAGTTTATATGGTAAAATCAGTATAACGTCCATTTTGACAGCACCAATTCCATCAGCACAACAACAGAGTCATATTACATTCACCTGCTCTGAGCTTCTTTTTTCAACAACAAAATGTTTTCATTCTAAGCCATCTAATCTCTGCTCCTTTAATGTTGCCATTTTTCATTTGTTACAATCATTGTTAAGCCACTCTCAATGACTCTCAACACTTCATAGAGATGCTACAAATTAAAAGCGTGCCAAGACACATGTCACACCATACCCCAAATTTTGGGTATGGTTTGACATGTTTTTTAAAGTGCTCTCTGTGTCTCTGGAGGCTGCTTCAAAATTGCTGTTCTTCTGCGAACCAGTGACATGAGTGGTGCTCGAAAGAACTACAAGCTATTTCGGCTTGTAAAGGTGCTCACAGACTCGGGAGTACTATAAGCTGAGTGGGCTCCGCGAGGAATGTCTGCAGTCATTTGGGCTTCCATAGTCGAGCGCACTTCCACGTTGTAGTTTCCTGTTAAAAATGTCCATGAAAAATCCCCGCGATGTGAAAAATACATGCCGAGCAGTCTTTTGTGTGACACTGGTGAGTGGAACGGAGTCCGCGCGGTTGTAAAATCTGAGCTTTGCGCGCACAGGACTTGCGGACGTCCGCTTTTAGTCTGGGCGGATCTCCGTGGAGTCCGCTCTGCGTACGTTCCACCCGAGTATGTTTGGGCCTTAAAGGGATAGTGCATCCAACAATGAAAATTCAGCCATTATCTACTCACCCTCATGCTGAGGAACGCTCTGGTGAAGTTTTAGAATCCTCACATCCCTTGCGGAGATCGGCGGGGGGAGCGGCTAGCACACCTAATGGCTGACGACGCCCCAGACTAACATCCAAGAACACAAAATTGAAACCACAAATTATCTACAACACGCTCATCCGTAGTGATCCAAGTGTCCTGAAGCCGCGACATTAAAGTTGTTTGGAAAAACGTCATTTGAACTCTGTTTTTAGCCTCACTGTAGCCTGTAGCTCTGACTGCTTCTCTGTGTTCCGCGCTCATGTGTGCGCGCTCAGGGTGATCGGTGATGCACGGTCTCTGAAGAGCAGCAGTCTCGTCAGTACTGATGTCCAGATTCTCAAGTGCAGGCATCGCCAATTCCCAGTCTGAGCAGCAAAGACTTTCCTCATCCGTTGGCATTGCTTTGCATTTGAAACAACTACACCACCAGGTTTCCAGTGCTCGACTCCGGTATTCTGCGGCTGGCTGAGGGTTAGGCTCATGAGCTGCGGCGGTTGCTTCGTCCAGTAGCCTGAGTTCCGCGTCCGTAAACTCGGGCTCAAACAAATACGGCTCAACAAAGAAATGCTGTTCCTCCTCAGTTTCAAAGTCTTCAGACATGTTGGGCTGTCCTTTGCTAAAAGGCCGTAGTGCAAATTATCTTTTAGCTACTGTGGTTACCGTTGTCTCTCCCTGTGGTGCACATGTCACATGATGTAAACACGGGTAAGCAAAGCTCATGCTTTCGCTGGTCTCGCGCAAGTGCGCACACGTGAGCACGGAGCACAGAGAAGCAGTCAGAGCTACAGGCTGCAGTGAGGCTAAAAACAGAGTTCATATGTTTTTCAAAACAACTTTTTATGTCGGGGCTTCAGGACACCTGGATCACCACGGATGAGCATGTTGGAGATATTTGTGGATTCTATTTTGTGTTCTTGGACGTTAGTCTGGGGTGCCGTCAGCCATTAGGTGTGCTAGCCGCTCCCCCCACCGATCTTCGCAAGGGATGTGAGGACTCTAAAACTTCACCAGAGCGTTCCTCAGCATGAGGGTGAGTAGATAATGGCTGAATTTTCATTTTTGGGTGCACTATCCCTTTAAGTCTCATCTCCACCTCTGGGTATCCAAGGGGCGTGCTCTAGATGCATCCAAAAACAAATCTTCCTTCTTGTCTTGCATTGCAAATGAGCTACATGTTCACCAAAATGGCATCATTTGTTATGAGTGCAGATGATTACGGAAGATATATTTTACAGTATATTTCCCGACTCAGATATTCAAGCAGCATATTTTTTGGACCCACCTGTAGGAATGCAGTGGAGGGTGGCAGAGACTGCAGTTGAGCCATAAATGAGGGCACCACCAACTGCTCAAATTGCCCTCTGATGCCAACAAAAACTGAATCACTGCACTGAATTTCAGCATGGGCAGTTAATGTTAGATGCTATCACCAAGTACAAACGAGAAAAAGCTTGTTTGTGCATTACTATGCATCAAAATTTTGCTCACTTGGACAGACCTGTGCTAGAGACTATGGCTGGACTATTGGACAAACATTTTGATGATTGGCTGAGCACATCATCATTTTATTGAATCAATTTATTTTGTTCTACTGCTCTGCTGTCAGCTGGGAGACGGTGGGGAAATACGTGTCGAGCGTTTCCCATCTTACTTAGTGAATTAAGGATTTATTTCAGCTAAACCAGAGTTGGTGATTTTTGGAACAGTGGCCTAACCGACTATGAGGGTTTTAGTGAGATTTATTTTGATTTTGTCAAGTTTGAATTAATCTTAAAAAAACAAAATGATGGTGTGGTTCTCTCTGCACTAAAAGAATTCACAATAAAGAATATGGTGATAGGGCCAGAGGCAAAAACCTAATAAGAAATCTGTCAGCATTATTACTAGGGATGTATCGACCGCCGATATTAGCAAAAAACATGCATCAGCATTGGATCGGACTGCATGGAAAAATGCCGATCCAACAACTCCGATCCAGTTTTTCATGTACTCCAATCCAGGTTTTCCGGCCAGCCCTGCGCTCCGCAATTCAAGCAGTCAATTCCAATGATCCGCTCCAGCACTTACTATCAATCCACCAGGCCAGCATGCAGACACACAGGAAACAACAGCACCAGGCTGGCACTGACACTACAAAAATAACTGAAAAGGAAAGGCTGCATTGTTTGTTAAATGCCAACAATGTCTTGTGGTGTTAATCTATTTTTTATTTATTAGGGGGCCAAAGCACAAGTGTGTGGAGTCTTGCTAGACATTTTAAAGATTTCTTGTGTTGATTTATTTTCTATTTATTAAGGAGCCAAAGCAAACCAGCTATATTTTTTATTTAATGTTAATGTTCAAGTTTAAAGTTTGTTTATTTAACCCTGTTCACAATAAACAGGTCAGTTTCTCATACCAACTGTTGTGGATCATTCTAACTAACCTGATTAAGTAGTTGTTCTTGTTAGAGTAATATTGCTTGATCAAACCTTTTCTAACATGACTGACATGACATGACTACGCGTTTGGATCGGATCAGTATCGGTATCGGCCAAAACTCAAGGCTGTAATATCGGTATCGGATTGGAAGTGAAAAAGCTGGATCGGGACATCCCTAATTATTACAGCAATGAACTGTGCACACTTAGAGGCTACAACTGAGAGGTATTTCAACCCTAAATAAGACTCTACTTGTAGTCATTACTGTGTGTGCATGTGTGGGTCAGTCTGAAAAAAACTTGCAGGTGCTGGGGACAGTTTTGTGTGTGTGTGTGTGTGTGTGTGTGTGTGTGTGTGTGTGTGTGTGTGTGTGTATGTGTGTGTGTCCATGCCTTGTGTCTGATAGTTCAGTCTCCTCATCTCCACAGGGTCTGAGGAGTGGGCCAACAGTGGGTCCTTGATCCCGGCCATGTGCTCATCCTTGGCTGGAGAGGTTTGTTTCCTGGGGGAATGAAGAAGCGGTGCACTAAGAAAGCAAACCATGAAACCAAGGACAGGCCACAATTACTACAAGTACTTTATCTCAAACTACAGACAATTATAAAAAGAAATATTTTCCACAAAGTGGGAAAAAAAAACATTGGTTTTATCTGCCCAGATTAGGTTGACAGGAAGTGATAATCTAGAACATATTGTGTGATTATTTTTAAAATGTGAGGAGGTTCAGTTTGTTTGAACTTTTACAAAATTAGACAACCACTGACAAAAAAGCTCCCCTGACTCATTACCATGCACTTTTGAGACTGTTTTTAATATGAATTCCAAACAGATTATGGACATCTATCCTTAATAGACACTGGCAATTTTCACACCACTGTAAATAGTGAACTCTACAAGGTGTATATGATGTCTGGGGTGAATGTTCAACTTTGAAGACAAGACACTGTTTTGTTTTTAAATTCAGTTTAGAGCCTATTATCTTTGCAACAGCTGATCGTCTGCAGTCAGCTGTTGCTGCTGTCGAAGCAGAGCTAAAGGACTGTCTCAGTGAGCCACTCTCCTCCTGCTCTCCCTGCCCAGTTAGCACAAGCTAATACAGCAGCAGCGGCTGACATCCTACATCAAGTCGTTCAACATCTCACACTGACACCGAAAAGGCTAGACACTGTCATTAAACCTGTTAATAACTGATGGGTAATGTTGGCTGTGTAATGTAATAATTAGCCCTGTCACTGTGCAGGGAAGAATGGGGAAAGGTGAGCCAATTTTTACTTATGTTGTCCTCTTGGTTAGGACAATTAGACAAAAGAGCAATAAAAAAACATCTACCCTTATTTCAAGATGTCTCTTATCAGTTGAAATTGTAAGACTACATCTATGACACATGGCCCTGAAAATATGACTTCAGAAAAAAAGTGTTCCTGTGGCTCAATTTGCCCCAGGTTAGGGGTAAGTTCATCTGAGTCAGCAGGCAAATTGACCAATATGATTTGATAAGACAATGTAGTTTTGAAGAGCAAAAAAACAATAATTGTAACAAAATTATGCTGATGTAAAAATAGTTCATATCTGCTGGCATCCAGTCAAATATAATTAAATAAATAAATGTTTGGCAGAAAAAATAATGAGAGATCATTGCGTGCCATACAATTCTTGAACCACTCTCGAACTAAAAGAATATAATTTGTTCTACTGTCTTTAATGCCACCTTCCTCACTGAATTTTCTGAGTTTTTATCCACTGCTGTTGTGAATCATGACAAAATCCTTATTTCTGATGATTTCAACTTCCATGTCGACCTATCAGAGGTTTGGTGTTAACCAAAGCCACAGAATTTCTTGGCATCATGGACTCTTTTAACTTCACGCAACATGTTTCTGGCCCAACCCACAACCGTAGCCACACACTAGACTTAGGTCCAATCCCAATTCCTATCTTAACCCTCAATCTTAACCCTCAGTCTCAAAAATTCTCATTCTCAGTGTTGAGTTGAGGGTCAAGAATAAGGGCTGTATGGCCCTCACTTTTAAGATTTTCCAGGACCACCCTTGGTGGTGAGTGCTATCCCAGAATCCTTTGCGTATCATCCACTGAGCCCAGCTGAACCCGGCCGAGTACAGGCGATTCAGTCAATGCAAGATGGCAGCAACAAGTGTAAGGAAGCAGAGTTATCAATGTGAGTATTTTGCTTGTTAATAGTTGTTTTAAAATTATGATAACATTGCATTATCTTAGTTTGAAGTCATTTTATGGACTATAGACCTCTTTGTAGTGTAACACACGTATTTTTTTGGCTAGCTAACAAAGCCATCGCGGGTGACGGCTTGCCTGCCCCGCACGTAACCCGGTTCTCTGATAACTGAGTATACTGTCATTCAGTTATAAAAAGTCATTTTTCTCAGTGATAATGTAGTTGTTAAGTTGTTTTAATATACGTAAAATGTTTTCATCGACATTTTTGTAAGATGACCGGACGGTGTCATCTCCTGTAGCCGTAGAGTCTGCAGCTGGTAACGTCACAGCTGCAGGTTAATGTTAGTGATCCTATTATCTGGTGACTTTCCGCTGAATAAGTTACGTCAGTTGTTGTGGTAACTTACAGGTTATTTGGTTGAATATCAATTTATAACCCAAAGAGTGAAACGTTAACATGGATGAAAGTCACCAGATAACACTTGTGAGACCGTGTAAACAGCCTCACCAGTTCTGCAGGATGTTGACTACAGTATTCATTGTGATAATACTTGCAATACTGCATGAAACTAAACTACTAACTTAACGAATATCTGACAGGTAGCCCAAAAAAGATAAAAAATAAAAGAAAGTAATGCTGTTATTGCTGTCCCATTTCAGGGCCACTAGACAAAACACAAGCCCTGATTAACTTCAGGGCCAACAATGAAGACAAGTGTACAAAAAGCAAGCAGGCTCCAAAAAAACTATGGGAATGAGTAATTTGTAACTTGTGAACTGTTCATATTCATAACAAAATTCTTGGTCACAACGGCAACTGTTCCCCTTGTGATCAAGCATTCTGTTTCAATATGAAATCAGCACAGCTGCAGACGGCATTGTCGAAGATTATTTTTTAGTAACTGTACATTTGTTTTGGAGCTACCCCTATACTGTCACTTTTTGGAAAGATTTTGTTGAGTATATTCGTTGCAATATTTATGTTCTATTTTCACTACTGTATAAAGATGTGCTGTTTGGATTTTATAATGTTAGCATTTCAAAACAAAAACAATTCTATATCATTAATCTATTTATTATGACAGTGAAATATTCATAAGAGTAAATTTTGTAACAGAAAACCCTTGTTCAAATTTTTTATGAATGAAATGCAGCAATACTTAAACCATTCAGCACTCCACAAACTCCAAAGCTATAAAGACTCTGAAAATATGTAAACAATTTAATTGTTTGAGCTGCTGAACTTTTTAATTTATTTATTTGTTTATTTTATTTCTCTTCTTTTTTCTTAACCCTGGCATATTTGTTCTGTTCATGTCTGTCACTGCTTGTTTTGTACAAGAATTGAAATAAAGTATTGAAAAAAAAACAAAAAAAAAAAAACATGTTGCATCTTTTTATCGACGACCACTGATGACGTATATTTCTTCTTTGAACTGACAGACTGGATGGAGTTTTGGCGTATTGATTGCTGCCCCCCACAGTCTTAAGACGTATTTGCCTTTGAGGGGTGTCCCATTTTAAAGTCACAAGAAAGCCCTAACACTTGGTTTTGAGGGCTAGTGAGATTGAGGGTTGAGCTTGAAAATTTAGATTGAGGGTTAAAATAGGAATTGAGATTGGGCCTTGGTCTTCATGGTCTGAACGTCCCTTCTCTGGCCCTGGAAGAGATGGGAATATCAGATCACCTGTGTGTCAGGTTCTCCTCCTTGTTGCAGACTGTACCCAAACCTCAGCTACCTGTTTCCCACTCTCATTCCATAAACTGCTCCACAGCCACCAAATTCTCTGATGCCTACATCACCTCGTCTATATCCTGCGAGCTAGAGGTCCATTTCTCCCACCTGAGCACGGATGAGCTGATAACTCTGTTCAACTCAACCTGTGCAGACATCTTGGACTCAATTGCTCCACTCAAAATAAGAAAACCAAAAACTAAAACTCAACCATGGCTCAATGATGACACCCGTGCACTCAGGCAATTATGTAGGAGAGCAGAGCGGAGGTGGAGAAAAGACAGGCTCCAAGTGTCCTTTGATCTCATGAGAACCTCTCTTGCCAACTATCAGCAGTCTGTCAAAGCAGCGAGAGCAAAATACTTTGCTGATATTATTTTCAGATATTCTCACTCTCCAAAAATACTATTTGACACAATAAACTCAGCCCTTAACCCAGCTGCCACTGCCTGCCATGTACAAACCACAGCCACTTGTGAAGACTTTCTGCACTTTTTCACAAGCAAAATTGACAACATCAGATCTACCATTTCACCTCCTGTCCTTGGCCCGTCCACTCCCTCTCAATGCTCTGCTGTCATAAATAAGTTCAAGCCTGTGTCTCTGGCTCACATCAAAGATATAATCTCACACACAAAGCCCAGTTCTTGCCCCCTGGACACTGTTCCTACATGCCTGCTGAAGGAAGTGTTCGACACTGTAGGTCCTACAGTGAATTCACTTCCTCTTTCTATTGGTCAAAGTGACGGGTTTGATGGGAGCAGTCATGACTGACAAAGAGAAAATCAAACAAGCTAGACTTTCTATTGGAATGTCATGAGGCGTCCCAGATGTGGCGTCGTTTGCTGTCTACTATGACACACTACACGAGATGAAACAATGGATTATTGTGTAAGTTCATGATCCGACCCAAAACCATATGATGCTTCGTCGGGCTACAATCGGGCTGATATCATGTGGTGTGTACCAGGCATTACTCTACCTATGTGACTCAGTTCCAGGCACAGAGGTCACACTCCTGCAGCAGTAGTCTCATGATAAAAGAGGGGCTGAGCAAATCAATACCCTGCACGCAGCTCTACAATGAACTGAACAATGATATTTTACCTGTTTTAAATAGTCAAATTTGTGGTAAGGTTGCGGTGATTGGACAAAATTGCATACATGACTTCAACGCAATGTCACTCACTGCTGTTACAATGGCCACGCCCCCTTTTAGGTGAAAGTTTTGAACTCGACCCGGGAGAGACGCTAGTCGCGGCGAGGAGTTCATAATGCCGAAAAGTTGCTGTGTTGTTCACTGCACAGCAAACAATAAAAAATACCCAGAATTGCGATTTTCTTTGCTCCTGGATAGAGTGAATAATGGGGAAAGAAGAAATCTGTGGCTCTCAACCATCAAACGGCAGGGTAAAGACGGAAAGCTGTGGGATCCAGCTAGTCACTACACCTATGTCTGTGGCAGGCACTTCATCACAGGTTAGTTGGCTAACGTTAGCTAGCTAGTCAGTTGATCTCAACAATAACATGAGATATTCAAAGTCAAGAAGTTAATTCTAATGAATGTTAAGTAATGAATCGACAGGACATGAACTGAATGACTGAACTGACAGGTCATTCGTCCACACAGAAGCTGGCAGCTGAAAAGGACACACACCTCCTATCATTTTCACTTTCTCGTCGTACCCAAGGTGATCAGGACCTCTTAAACTCTATTTGTAGCATGTAACCTGACTGGCCATTTCATTCCGAAGGGGAAAGACTCAACTGATTTGTTTTTATTTACACTTTATGTGTGTGAAGAGCTCTGCCGCCAGTCAAAATCCCATGTTTCTGTCACCTATGACGTCACCGGCGTGTGACCCGTTGTAGTCCATTGTCGTCCCGTTGAAGTCATGTATGGTAGCTCAGAATGCACAGGGATTGGCTGAATTTGTGTTAATTCCTGGAAAGACTAATGTCAACAAACTGGTCATGTACCCACTTGTCGTTTTCAAAATCTGGTCACCTTACTCTCGGGTGTACTGTAAGACACTTTAAGGAGTAGGCTCTTCATTTTTATGGTAAGTGCATTTTGTTTTGAGTCTGATTTTCACTAGCCAAAATTAGCATCCCAATCAATATCACAGTCAATGTGAATTAACCAAGCTACCTAGTGCTAGTGTTACGTTAAGTTAATAAAGCTCTCATGGAAGCCCGAAGACAGCTTAGAGAAGCTGGCACGGCGCTGTGATTCTGGCAGCATAACAAACAATGAACCTCTGTCAGTTAATGTCATCACTGTCACAAAGCACAGGTGAGGGAGGTAAGGAGGGTAATGAGGATGAAGTAATGCAAGAACAGACAGAGGCACTTACCTTTCTTGTTTGCTGCGTCCACAGAAAAGAGGCAGACAGTAAATCAGGAGCAGAGAGAGAAGAGATTAATTTACACATTTCAGCTGCAGAAATGCCACAGTGTTGAACAGGAAGTGCACCCGAAAGAGCACATTACAGCCATAGACTGTAAAAATAAGGGACATAGCTACTGTGACATTGCCCATTGGTTTGAAGGCTCCTGTTTTGAATCCTCAAGTGCCGCATTACAGCGGTCGCCATCTTTTATTTTTTATTTTTTTTTAATGGAGCTAGAAGTGACTATTTTCGCCTGGTAAGACTATCCTGATGACGTCAGCTCAATATTCTGTTTCTCTCTATGTATCAGTCTGGACTCAGTGCCATCCTGCCTCGTATACAGAAATTAAGATCCAATCGGGGCCAATCAGGGATCTGCACTGTAATTCAAATTCACATTTTCATTTTCTGTGTTGTTACTTGTGTAACACATTTTGTGTGGATTTCAACACAAGTTGTGTACAAAATGCACAGAAAGCTTAACACATTTAATGTGCTGGACAGTTTAACACAATGTGTGTGTTACTTTAATTGGCGGCAACCAGTTTAACACAATGGGTGTGTTACTTTAAGAGGCGGGAAGGGGTCGCTCTTTACACGTGCTTTACTCTGAGACAGACAAAGGGGAGGAAGATGGAGGCTGCTTCGCCTGGGGTGCTGTTGGACTCCTCGGTAAGTATCCAATACCAGTTTAATTTAAACTATCTCATCGAACTGTTTATCAGTCAGTTAAATTCGACATGTGTAGAAACCACCAGCTAAATCATATCTCTAAGAAAATCCAGATACAGTAAGCTTCCCATTTTGTTCAGCAGGGCTGTCGAACAGTAAGCTAACGTTAACGTTAGCTGCTAATGTTAGCTTAAGTTCTACTGTGCTTGTTACCAAAATTACACCAAGTAAAACGCAGTTCAGGACAGTATAGCAAAACAGTCGCTCATTCCATAAAGTCCGCAGAAACCTCATCTAGTTTACTTTAACAATTAACTGGGTTTGAAGTCAATGGCACAGTAATTCATTCATTTAGCAATTCAACACCACCATTTTGCTGCATGGTTTCACTGCAGAGTTGGGGGGAGGGGGGCAACCGTTGAGACTTACGGTAACGTTAACTTAATTCATGTTTTCATTTGTATTTTTTCTTGAGTTACATTTATTAAGTACATTCATTTTAATGATACATGAATCGGGACCTGCAAGTAACGTCATTTGGGCATCTGCCAGTTGTGTTTTATGGTTAGACAGACATGTTTGCTTGTTATTTGAGTTCTAAGCGGGCAAAATAAAGGTGTATTCGGGCTGGAAACCACTGGTTTAGTGCTGACACACTAGAGATGAAGATAAGCATTGTGCTTCACTCAGGATAGATTGTGCTTAGATTATTTCCACCAGATATTTTGACCATATAATATATATATATTTTTTAAATTTCAAAATATTGGACTTAGACAGATTTTACAAGGCAAAGACTTGTAAGTTTATTACAATATTAATGACACGATTATTAATGTGTCTTATGTAGTAAATGAGATAAAGAAATAATTACCTTAAATAAAACGGGAATGATTAATATTTAAGGCTTTTGACCATGTGCCTTTATTATTTTAACAGTGATGATTATGTATAGAATATAAACACATGCAGGTCCATAATATTGCTCATTATTTTCTGCAATGACATGTCACAATGGGAACCGCAAAAAGTGCCTATGCCCTGTATGCTCCAAATAAAGTTATTTTGTAAATATCATTTATCATTTGTAGAAAATTGAAGTTTGTCCTTAAATTTTGTATTGAAACGTTTTTCTTTTTCTTATGCAGCAGCTAAAATGGAACTCTCTGGAAATGACCCTGGACCACCGCTGGACCCTGGACCACGACCATAGGCGTCATTTAGGTATGGCGAGGTATGGCAGCTGCCATACCTTGGAATCGGGAGAAAAAAAGAGAGAGGTTCTGTAGTCATCTTACTTGTGAGTGTCCTTCATATTTGTTGCAAGTGATCAGATGTGATATGTTAGATAGTCCGAGGCGCACTGGCTGGTTGTTTTCATTGTATTGCACTTAAATAGGTCAATAATATGCTCATCAGTGAATACGAGTGTTAGTGAATACGAGTGTTATTGAATCAAATTGTTCGCCACTTCGCTCCACTATGAGTTATGTGAGTTATCTGTGTGTTGTAAAAGCATTTTGCTCTGCTGCTGTAGACAGCCTGTCTAAATGATGTCTTGAAGCCCGTCTGATTGTATGTGGGGTTTTTTTCTTCATGTCGGCATGTTGAGCTTGTATGTTCGGTCTCTGGAGACACTCCAATAAATTCGCCTATACAGTATTGTACCAAATTGGCCTTTGTTTTACTGTGTTTCATACACCGGACCCCTTGGTTATCTTCTAGAAATGAGCTTGTAATTAATTTATTTTCTTTATTTTCTGTGAAGTTAAAATGAAAATGAAATGAACTGTTGACCAAATGTCTTAATGCTAGGTAAAAGGTTTTTAAAGAAACTTTGAAGATTCATGAGTGAAACAAGACATGTTGACTAAATGTTTTAAAATGTTTAAAAAATATTTCTTGAAATAAATAAATGATTCCAAGTGGCATTTTCCTTTTTTATTCATTGTATTCTGCCATTTGTTTAGAGTAACACAAGCTTGTGTTCGATCACTGTGTAATTTTGAGTAACACATGAATGTGTTAATATAAGTTTTATGTAACAACACATGAATGTGTTAGTACTCACACATTATACACATCTCTGTGTTAATCTATGTGACACAGTCACTGTGTTGATATATTAACACACTGAATGTGTCAAAATTAACACAACACGTGTTGTCCCAAATTCAACTCATTGATGTGTAGAAATTCAACACGTTGTGTTAATATTGACACATTCTTGTTAAGAGTGTAGAGGAGCGAAAGGTGGATCTGACTAAGAAGCCGAGGACACTATCAGCAGACAGCCTGTCACTCAAAGCAACCCTGCCCTTAATTACAGCTTACTTTAAGCCTTAATAACATGTAAACACGTAAAAAGTCACCCCCTGTGCAGTTGGCATGAATGTTGAAATAGCTATACAGACCAAATCTGTTTCTTGTACCAGCCTGTAAACATGTTTAATTCTGCTGTAAATTTGGGCATTTCAACATGGGGGTCTATGGGGATTGACTCGCTCTTGGGAGCCAGTCTCAAGTAGCCATTACAGGAACTGCAGTTTTTGGAACTTTTCTGTTTATTATATGGTCTGTAAGAAATATTTGATGGTGGTCACCTCGTATCCTTTTCTTAACCTTGGCTGATACTAAAATGTTGCATGAACAAAGAGTGAGGGGTGTAAACTATGGGCCCCTTTTGACACCACCCTACATTTTCCCACTGTCCCTGCTACATATTCAAAATAATCAAATAAATGCATTTAAATGCAAAATGCTAATTGGTGCTATGAAAAATTCAGTCAGTGCACCTTTGAAGTGTAGTGCCAGATAATAAAAATATTGAGTATATATATTTTATATGTACACGCTGCTGAAAATGTGGCCCATCAATATTTTCTGGTTTTAAAATCTGGCCCAGTTGAATTTGTATTTGAATAGCTTTGCTGTACAAAAAAAAAAAAAAAATTACAAATAGTTTCAAAGATTGTAGCCATTATCAGAGTGGTAGCTTATTAATAACTAGAGTTACCACACCGCGGTTGTATGCCTCCATGCACCAGCCAAGTTTCTCTTACAGTTCACACCCATTCCAGTGAAAACATGGATGCTTCACACACAGAAGATCTATAGAATCAGCACAGTTTAAAGGTGGACACCCAAGATTAGTGTCACCAATTCAGTATCTGAACAACTGTCTCCCCTTCTGTTCCTGAAACACGACATTGAATAATGGCCAGAGAAGGGTTTTATTAAGGATATTATGATGTAACAATGAAGTTGACCTTTTGGATATAAAATGTCATCACTTTCACTTGTGTGAAATTTTGTCATAAATACCATAAATCTTCTTGAATGATGGCCAAAAACATGTTTTGTAAGGTCACAGTTACCTTGAGCTTTGAACTTCAACCACCAAATTCCAATCAGTTTGTCCTTCAGTCCAAGTGGATGTTTGTGTGAAATTTGAAGAAATTCCCTTGAGGTGTTCTTGAGATATGACGCTCTAGCGAAAGATCAGTCAGGAAGACAATACTTTTTTATGCTTAGTCTATAACTTTCTTTCTCACCCTGTCATTCACTGCTTGCACGCATGCTCACTCTTTATCTCTAGCTGTCAGTGTTCGGGGCTGTGAATTGAGTTATCAGCTGTTCTACAGCTGATCCACAATCAACCAGTAGCACAGCAACAAAGCATCTCTGTCAGCCCATCATCTTACTGCTCCTCATTTTAAATATTGTTCTTTTTCTGCCAGTCCTTTCATGCTGCAGCCATGCATACCCTCCACTTTCCCATCACCACCTAGTCTTCGAGGAGTCAGCCTCATTCACCTCATCAGTCATCAACCACAAAGTCATCAGCCACCACCACCTCCACCAGTGTCTAGACTCTATGGGAGGATTTATCTTGCTGCCGCTTAGATGTCCCTCGATCACAAAAATCTCCCTCTGGTGTCAAAGTGCCAAAGACTTATGTTAAATCTCAATCAGCACAAATCATCTGTTAATCTGTACACTCATATGCTGTATTAAATATTATCTTTACTTCATTCTTCTGTCTCTTCTGATTGAAATCACATTCACAAGAATGAGACATTTTCAAGGTCACAGTGACCTTTGACCACCAAAATCTTTATTGCTAAGTCCAAGTGAACATTTGTACCAAATTGGAAAAATTACCTCAAGGCATTCTTGAGATATCACTTTCACGAAAATAGGACGGACAACCCGAAAAACACAATGCCTCTGGCTGTGGCTATCACTAGCGCGGAGGCATAAAAATGTATATATGTGTGTTGAAGTGTTAAGCATTAAGAGAT